GAGATCGAGCAAATAACTTAAAGAACGACTTCTACATTCCAGTTTATATGACATATTTAACTGATTTAAACAATGCTGTTTTCTATCCTCAGAAGTGCGCGTCCACGACCCCGCTCGCGGTATTCGAACATAGATACAATTGTCGATTCAAATTCCGTGGTGGTAGAATTAGTAAAAGTATAAGCAGTAATCGGAAAAATCAGGGCTTGAAGATGTTTTTCAAGGAGTACAATCCTGTGAAATAAATTCGGAAAGAGAAAAAAGAGAAAGGGACATGATGAATTCAGAAGATTAGAATTTGGGAGAACACAAAGAATGGATGCACCACTGCGCCATGGCAAACGAACTTGAACCTATGTCATTCAGGGTCTCTAACCATCGGTTTCTATCATGCCGATCCCAACCAAGTAGTGAATACCTACCAACATGACTCAGTCCATATGTCATTAACTTGATGGATTTGTGCCATGTTTTGGTCTGGCCGTCCCTAGCTTTCTTCCAACCTACTCCTACACCATAAAACATCACTCGGAAAAAAACATGCACCGTTTTGTTATGTTTCTGGGTAGAGAATACTTGGTGTACATTAGGGATCCAATGCACTTCAACTGCTTGTTCAACGCTTGTTGTCTACTCACTACAGTAGAACTAATCGTTTTTCCAATGATTGAAATTAGAATTATTCTGTTGAATAGATAATTAATAATTCTTCTATAGACGAAATTTCAAGTTGTCAGATAATTCTCATTTAAACAATAAAAGTAAAGAAACACGAAGTTCAGCGAAGGAATCTCTTCTCAACCAATTTATTATCAAGCTGTACAATCGTATATATATACATAGAATGGCCAGCTGACCAACTTCTATGGCTGTGTTTCTTTAAGCAGAAAGAACAGTCTCATTCACTCTTTATGTCATCGGATATGTAGTACGGAATGCATTGACGAAGAACTCGGATTCCTCAGGAAAACTCTGACGAAAAATGGTCATCCAGACCGCTTCATAGAGAAGAATATGAAAAGAAGTTATGACAAGAAATCTCGTTGTTCTATCCTAAAGAAAAACCTCTACATAAGTTTGGGATTTAAAGGTGATCGAACATCTGATGTAATCAAAAATCGTTTAACGATAGTGATTAAAAGAACATTCAATGCGGCAAAACTGCGAATGACGTTCACTAGTAGGAACTTATTTTCTGTATCCGTAAAAGATAAGCTTCTACGTCTGGTCACCTCCATGTGCATCTACCAGTTCACCTGCTCTTGTGGAACAAGGTACATTGGCCGTAGCTAGAAATGGCTTTAGACTTGGATAAGAGAACATATCCCAGTATGGTTCTACAGGGATGAAAGGAAAGCAGCTAGGAGTTCTATACTTGAACACCTAATCGACTGTAATCCTTCTACGGATCCACAGTTTGATTTTAAGGTTGTATATACGATTCGTTCAAATCTACTTAGATTTCTTCCTATCCAAGTCCTAAAAATAGCTGAAGGTCTTACCATCCATTGGCTGTAGCCAGAACTATGCGTACAAAAGAAGTACATCCTATCGTTATGGTTACCTTGGCCTTTATTATTATTATTATTACTGCATTTCTTCTTTACTTATGTCTTATATTCTCATTATTTTATTCATAAGTACTCATCATATCACTTTATTTATTTTTTACACCTCTATGGTCTTTACTTACGACTGTTACTCCTGATGGAGGAGCTCACTAGCACTCTCCATCCAACCCTGTCCTGCACAATTCATTTCCAGTTGTTGTAAGCCGAGATTCTATGACCTTTAATTCTTGTAACAAAGATATTTTAGTCATCTTACTACATTCACGTTATAATTCGTTACTAACATACTAAGTCTATTGTTACTATTCCTAGTATTATAATCTTTCTATTACGTCATTTCGTTTTTACCTTGTTCACATTTCCTCACGGAACTAGTACTTTATATATATATGTTTAACTGTTAAGGGAAACAACTTAAATAAATACAAAAGTCTTCATATCTTTACCCTAATTATGACTAATCGTTGTTTGTAGACAGATGAATTTATTGATTTACGTTATGGATTATTGCGTTGTCATAGTTACATGAGTTGATGTATAGTCAACTAAGTAAGTTAGTACCTAATAGTGAATAAATTCACGTAAATTTAAACACACCCAACACAGAAATTTATGTAAAGTTTACGGATTTACTTTAACCTTATGAATAATAAACTAGAGGCAAATTAATAGTATTGTATTTAATAGTTGATTTCATTAGTCGATTAAAGCTCGACTATCATGGAAAATCTTCTCACTCTTTCTCTTTCTCCTGGTGATCGACTGGATCATGAAGACATCAACATCTGAAGGGAAGCACGGGATACAGTGGACAGCTAGGATGCAATTGGCTGATCTAGACTTCGCAGATGATCTGACTCTTCTATCGCATACGCAACAACAAATGCAGGAGAAGACGACCAGTGTAGCAGCAGCCTCAGCGGCAATAGGTCTCAATATACACAAAGGGAAAAGTAAGATTCTCCGATACAACACAGCATGCAACAATCCAATCACAATTGACGGTGGAGCTTTGGAAGATGCAAAATCCTTTACATATTTGGGCAGTATCATCGATGAACACGGTGGATCTGATGCAGATGTGAAGGCACACGGATTGGCAAAGCAAGAGCAGCATATTTACAACTGAAGAATATCTGGAACTCAAAACAATTAGCAACCAACACCAAAGTCAGAATTTTCAATACAAATGTGAAGACAGTTCTACTGTATGGGGCCGAAAACTGGAAAACTACGAAAGCCATCATCCAGAAGATACAGGTGTTTATTAACAGTTGTCTACGCAAAATACTTCAGATCCGTTGGCCGAACACTATTAGCAACAACCTACTACTGTGGGAGAGAACAAATCAGATCCCAGTGGAGGAAGAAATCAGGAAGAAATGCTGGAAGTGGATAGGACACACATTGAGGAAAGCACCGAACAGCATCACAAGACAAGCCGTCACATGGAATCCTCAAGGCCGAAGGAGGAGAGGAACACCAAAGAACACGTTACGCCGAGAAACGGAGCTAGACATGAGAAAAATGAACAAGAATTGGATGGAACTAGAGAAGAAGGCCCAGGACAGAGTGGGTTGGAGAATGCTGGTCGGTGGCCTATGCTCCATTGGGAGTAACAGGCGTAAGTAAATAAGTAAGTAAATCATGGAAAATCTAGAAGCACTGGATGGTTGTTTCTTCCTAGTATGAGACTCCTCAGTAGTGCGCATCCACGATCCTGCACATGTAACTCGTACACAAGGCTTTCGGTCTCGCGTGCATTGCTAAGGAATTCCATAATAGGACGAAACGGCCATCTAATGCTTCCAGGTTTTCCATGGTGATCTAACATCAATCGATTCATGATCTCAATCAAAAACTTAATAATCTCCATAAGCCCCATACTGAGTAAGCCGAAGTAGAAAGTAAAAATACTAATTATACTGTTTTATGAAACAACAGGATGAACTGTCCTAATCAAATACAAAATGTAAGAGTAAAAGTGAATAGATTCGATATAAATCAAAGAAAATCATAAAGTGATTTCATCGCATGACATTGAATTGGATAGAATCAAGGTAAATAAAAAACAAACCCAACTTGCAATGAAATGACTTTCAACGACAATTTAGGAGGTCTGGTCACCAGTTTGTTTAGAAACCAATCCATAACACTATGGTTAACATCATATGTATTTAGTTATTTATTATTTATTTAAACACATAAACATTGATGCAAGGATGCACCAAATAGATATGCGCCACAGAAGTCACTCAGTTCACGTGAGGGCTGGGATAATGCCCGGGTGCCCAAAACCGAAGCAGATTGTTTTCTTAGGGGGCCACACCCTGAGCCTTTGACATAGATTTTTGATCCACAAGGCAGTGGGATAACATAAGGAGATGCAGTCCCATGGTAGCCGGTGACCAACGATTGGTTTATACGCCATTGGTTTGGAATGAGGGGTTTCCAACTCCCTTAAATGGATCCTCCGTATCAACCAACCCGGTTAAAGCACAGAAAATTCGCTTTTTGTCATCTCAATTTCGTAACCAACATCCTCACCCCGAGCTGACAGTGAGTAGGACTTCCCTGGTAGCGGTTCCATGCACGTGGAGGAAGTGCTTGCTCTCCATACTCTCAGCCGTACCGGAGCATTTGGGGGCAACGTCATATGTAAATAATGCTTGTACAACATTTTACGAAGATGAAAACAACTCCTTGCTAAAGAACTAGCCTTGTAAACACTATATATTTACCTCCTAAAAGTTGATCTTTTTATTCTAACTGTTTTCGTTCACGTAAAACATAAGATTTTTACCTAAAGACAATCTTTACAGTAGGAATATGTTTGAGTGAAATAGCAGTGGATATATTAGGATCATTGAAGTATGTAAGTATTGGGTGAGACTCTAATTTACGGATAATTTTTGAGCGAGGTTAAAGTGACCTTGAAAGTGTTCACCTAATAAATAGGACGAAATAAGGGTTGTGAATCAGTGTGATGAATTATAATTATGATATACAGTTGATGGTTAAGGATTAGGAATTAGATTTCGGGTTTTCATCACGAACTGACATCAGCTATAATGCCAAAACTTTATTGAGCCAAACGAGTGAATAAATTTCGCGCCGAAATCCAAGACCTTTCTATCCCTAAACCTGATTGGTTTGTACATAAATTACAGTTTCTCCATAAAAACATACTGAACCCATGATTTAATGAATTATATCAATCGAAATGTAAAAGCATTTCTAGATTTCGATTCACTTGGTATTGTTTGTTTGAATATTCCTATTCATGTTTACGATTTCAGTTGTTCAGTCTCTTATTGGCATATGTGCATATTGAGTGTATTGCCTCGATATTACCTTAGTTCACAAGCATTATAACGAAAGAGGGATAGTTGTTAGCAGTCAAATCCAGTTTGACAGGAGTTTCGATCCATTTGGGACTCGTCAGTTGGATGTACCTGAATCTCAGAGCTGATGTTCACTCTGGGGCTCGAACTCAGTACCATTCACAAGTGCCTTTGATGACTTAGTAGCTAAGTGGATAACGCGACAGCATTTGAAGCGAACGGCACTAGGTTCGAGTCCAGGAGTGAACACTAACTCTGGGATGCAGGTTCATCCAGCTGACAATTCCCGAATAAAACCAAACACGCGTCCTGGATTCCACTGCTAACGAATATCCATCTTTGAATATCATCTCTAGATTTTATTAAAGTTAGTAACAGAAAAAACATTTAAAAATAATGATGTATGTACAAGAAACTGAATCTCCACGGTTACATTAATATAAGAAAGAAAAAGAGATATCAAGAATGAATACACCTTTCTTTTTTTAAAATTCTTACATCTGTAATGTTTTCATAAATAAAGTTCACTTCGATAATGTTTTACATTGAATGGATTAATAACTGTAAATTACAAAATGAATTAAATCAAATTCACAAAATGATCCAATGTTGAATGAGATTAATACATCCAGTGTATACTTTTATTTCTTGGTTTATTAACTGTATCTAGATGAGTTTTGTAATCCAATTGAACTTCGTGCTAATTCTGCCTGAAATGATGTAAAGAACAGTTTGACAGAAAGGCTACGACATATTACAACCATGGACATGATAAGTACTTTTGTATTGATAGGCATATATATATATACATATATATATATATATATATATATATGTGCGTACTGCTGGCGAATCCCATACTAGGACGAAACGGCAGTCCAGTGCGTCCAAGTTTTCCATAATGGTCTAGCTTCAATTAAATCATGAATCCAACTATTAGAATATACATGTATGTATGGGTTATATTAATTAAATCTCCTCATAACTAAGTCAATATCATCCTGTAAAAGGTACAAAAAAAGTGACCCAAATGGTTCCATAAATCAAGACTATAATTTATGAACGAACCAATCAGATTTAAGGATAACAGGTTTTGGATTTTGACGTGAAATTCATTCATTCGTTTGTCTCAATAACGTTTTGGCATTTTAGCTGTTATCAGTTCGTGATAAAAATTATAAATCTAATGAATAAACTTAACCATCAGTTGTAAATCATAATTATAATTCAGCACCCTGCTTTATAACCCTCGTTTGGCCATTCTCAAGGTCAACCATAAATTATAGTCTCACAGTCCGCACAGGATGCATATATGTTAACATAAAACTGATCAACTGCAGTCCTAAATAACAATGGGAAGATACAAGTAAAACAACACCAAGTGAATTTAAACTTCACTCCATTGAACAAGCAAGTGGCTATCAGGATTCAGTAGCTAAGTGGATAACGTGATGGCGTTTGAAGTGAACGTCAGCTTTGGGATGCAGGTACATCCAACTGACGAGTCCCAAATAGGACGAAATGCGCTTCAAATTGTATTCCACTGCTAACCGCTATTCATGTTTGCTGACTATAAATTAATATTATAAAGAAAGTAGATAAATTTAAAGTTAACGAATTACAATAATATAAACTTGTGAAGTTCACACAAACTTATCGAATGTTTCGTCCAGCAAACTTATCTGAACTTCTTCAGGATAGTAATTAAAATCATCATTAAATGGAATGATTTAGAAGAATTATTTAAACATATAAAAAGAAATTCGGAGAACTTGAAGCTAATAAAGGAAATGGAGTCCAGTGACCATTAACTAGCGTTTCTCTATCGTTTGTTTGAACGAAGACATAATTATAATAAGTTGAAAATAAATATATTCAGGTAATCAACACATTTTGAAAGATACTTAGATTATGGTTCAGCTCATGAGTTTTGTACCAAAGTCACAGTTGTAATAAATTTAATTAACAGTAGTGTTAATCTCGTTACAGATAAAGAAGACCAACAGGTTGAATTGAATAGAGTTTTGTCTTCGCTTAGGGATAAAAACTACCCTAAAGAGGTTTTAAAGAAGATTATTAGAAATAAAGAACTAGAATGTATACCGAAAGACTGGAAGTTCACCATGGTCATCCCATACCGTAATGAAACATCGGAAGAAATATAGGGGATTCTAAATAAGCATGATATGAGTGTATTTTCAGCAGTGTGACACCATAAGATTGGTGTAGGGAAAGGTTTCCAAAGGAAGAAAAACAATGTCGTCTATGAGATCAACTGTCATGATTGTAATGCAGTTTATGAAGGAGAAACTTCCAGACAATTGAGTCTGAAGTTGAAGGAACACAAATAATACTTGAAAAATGTTCTGAAATCCACGGTTGACTGAAAGAAACTAGTGAATAAGTCGGCAATAGAATTACATGCACTGGAAACAGGATATAAGAATAATTTCGATGGGACCAAACTACTTCAGAAAGGTTTTAACACTCATAAAGAAAGATTGATAGCAGAGGTACTGTATATATGGGCGAACAAGAACAGCCCCAACGAAAAGGATAGTATTTAACTAGCAACTATTTGGCAAATATTTGTTAACAAGTAACTGGACCCCTTCTCTATCTAATCTGTTTATTTCACATACATCATTATTCGGACTGAAATTGATGTGGGTTATTAAAGTAATACAAAATTATGTATTTAATGGTTCTCATTTTACATGCACATCATTGATTGAAAAACAATTTTTCAACCTTCAATTTGCACCTTTATTCTTCCTTCATATAACAACAAATTTAACACCGATTATCAACGATTAATAACTCAATCTTACACACACACACAATTCATTTAGTCATTGTGAACTATTCACATGATTAGCATGTAACTAACTCATGTTATTCTATTTACTAAAGTCAACATCCAAATATGATTGAATTAGCACAGCAAAGATAGATTGTTGAAAGCTATATGTATTTCTTTGATGATTTTGATTTCGATTATTACCCTGAAGAAGTCCAGACAAGCTTGATGGACAAAATGTTGAAATTATTTTAAATTTTAATCGCTGAGATTACTTCAAATATAATGACTTCTGTATACTCAGGAACCAATTTTTGTCAAACTATTCGTTCTAACATTGACGAATATTCGTATAAATAATGATAACAATAGTAATAATAATATCTAAGATAAATTCACTTGGTATTGTTTACTTAAATCTTCCCATTGTTTACTTGAATATTCCTATTCATGTTTAGAACTGCAATTGATCAGTCTCTCATATCGGCATATGTGCATACCGTGCGTATTGCCTCGATATTACCTTCATTCACAAACATTCTAAGCAAAGATGGATAGTGGCTAGTAGTTAAATCCAGTTTGACGGGCGTTTCGTCTCATTTGGGACTCGTCAGCTGGATGTACCTGAATCTCAGAGTTGATGTTCATCCTGGGACTGATCATTTGCAGTCCTAAATAGCAAAGGGAAGTTACAAGTAGACAACACCAAGTGAATTTAAAACTTCAACCCATTGCACAAACAGGTGTCTATCAGGACTCAGTCGATAAGTGGATAACGTGATGGCGTTTGAAGCGAACGGTATTTAGTTCGAATCCCATAGTGAATATGAACACTAAGATGAAGGTACGCTATCCATCTGTGAATATCTAAGATAGACTCAAGTTGTTGAATTTCAATTACACTAAGTCTTGAAACGTCAGAATTATATATTTCTAATAATTGGGATATCACAAAAATATATATAAAACGAAAGGTTTCCTATACACTTCTCAAATTACATCATCCTATAATTAGGATAAATGTTGACAAGATTGATTCTTAAGTTGTTTAAGGTGTTATGGATAATTGAACGTATTGCTTGTGTACCAGAAGTTGTGTTTGCTTTTTGGTGAGACTATAATTTTTGGACGATCTTGGAGCGACACCACAATGACATTGAGAGTGTTCATCCAATAACCAGAACCAAATGAGGATTATAAACCTGTGTGAGGACTTTGAATTATGATTTACGGTTGATGGTTAAGGTTAGGAATTAGATTTAGAGTTTTCATTACGAACTGACATCAGCTATAATGACAAAGCTTTGTTTAACCAACTGGATGAGTGGATTTCGCGCCAAAACCCGGGACCTGTTATCTTACACGTGATTGGTTCATCCATAAATTATAGTCTCATCCTTTTAAAAAAAATTCAGATAGCTATTACTTAGAAGATTCAGAGTTCTATCAATCTCAACCCAGACTAGACATTATAGCAAATAATTGATTTACACTGACTGTATGACCCGCTTACAGGTAAATGGGTTAGAATCGAGTCGCTGACTATTTTTGTATTTAGCCCAAGTAAGTAAACATTACGTTTTATTATTATTATTATTATTATTATTATTATTATTATTATTATTATTATTATTATTATTATTACATATCTTCACTCATTATTTGAGTATGAAGAGTAGTATAGTCCCTGCTGTTAAAATGTATTTTAGTATTGAAATGTGTGACTGAAATATTATTGGTTTCAGTTAATCAACATATGCTCACTAGTGACTGGCTTCAAGAGGTATTTTCCGGAGTTTTGGTGAAAACCAGTGACCAATGGAATTCAACTGGATCTGTTGTGAGATATTAACTCACTGAACACAATGATGGACTGATATGTCCCGGGTTCGAATGTCGCGAGACAGGATCGTAGATGCAAACTGTTGAGGAGTCCCACGATAGGACGAAACGGCCTTCCAATGTTTCCAGGTTTTCATTGGTGGTCTAGCTTCAATTGACTTATGATCTCAACTATTAAAATTCATTATTAATTTTTATCGGTAACTGAACAAAACTATCTTGCTTTGAGGATTTAAAACACAATTAAAAACAAAATGAATACAATTACCTGATGTTGTCTATAAGCTATTCGTTCTTTGGCAAGGTAATTCAATGATAGCTGTTCAACATAATCAGCTATTTTATGCTTAGCTATACATATGAAGTAGATCATGAATATAAGTGGTATAATTGTGAGACCTAATAGTAATGGACCAATAGTTTGACCACGATTTATTGTGTAAAATTCCATACCGATTACGTAATGCAGTATGGTTAAAATTATCCCAATAAGTAATAATATGATACTGAATATAGCTAGAATAGTAGCCATAAAACAACCACATCTTGCTGGACCATTGATTAACGGATCAGGTGACCATATACAACAATCACTGTGTACACCATCATCATAAATAACATGACATAAGTTTCTGTTCATTGGTGAAGCTAAATGGCGTAATTGATGCTCTCGAATCACTTTTTGTTCTTCTAATGGAATTTCAGTAGTTTTCAATAACTCTTCAGCTTTACTTAGGGGAAGTGGATTATTCAGTGTTTTCATGTTATACAGATTCTGAAATCCGAAAAAGTCATTAAATGATGAAATTTATAGAAACCATTCATTGAGTAACATCATACACTTAGTTCTTCTTACCATCTTCAAAATGAGTAAAACAATGAATTGAACAGAATAATATGGATTTATTTGATTTCGTTAGGTTTTCATCAGCTGATTACAACCTAAAATAGTTTAAAATCAATATTATAGTAAAGATTTTACATACTTATAACAACAAACATGAATATGAATGAGAGAAGATTCTGGATGATCCAACGTAGTAACAAGGGTTCATGGATTTAGACTAATTCATTGATAATGTGATGAAGTAGTTGAGAATAACTCCACCTGTAGTTATTCTGGGATTACTGCCGGTTCCAAGTCCGGTTAAAGTGGGAGGATTGAGAGCGGTGTCGGTAACACCATCCCGTAGAAAAGGACCTTGCTAACTAGATTAAACAAATTAAACCATTTAAAGTTTGTCGAAGAAAGATTTGCAACTGTTCCCCTTTGGATACATAAGTCCGACTAAAGACGTTAGATGATCATAGATTGGATGAATTTGAGAAGGGAATTTGACTGTTGACTGATGAGCCTACGATATTTCGGTCTATCATTGCTCTGGTAGTTAGAAGGGGCATCAGTCTCGTGACTTTAAGCATGAGGAATCATAATTGTTCCTTCGACTCCCAAGACAAACTTTAAATGGTTTAATTTGTTTAATCTAGTTAGCAAGGTCCTTTTCTACGGGATGGTGTTACCGACACCGCTCTCAATCCTCCCACTTTAACCGGACTTGGAACCGGCAGTAATCCCAGAATAACTACAGGTGGAGTTATTCTCAACTACTTCATCACATTATCAATGAATTAGTCTAAATCCATGAACCCTTGTTACTACGTTGGATCATCCAGAATCTTCTCTCATTCATATTCATGTTTGTTGTTATAAGTATGTAAAATCTTTACTATAATATTGATTTTAAACTATTTTAGGTTGTAATCGGCTGATGAAAACCTAACGAAATCAAATAAATCCATGTTATTCTGTTTACTTCATTGTTCTTTCTCTACCTCACTATAATGGAAAATGGTCGCGAAATTTCGAATATTGGTTGGGGTTAGACATTAACATAGTTGAATGCCAGCCATCTCAGTGGTCTAGAAGTTAAGTGTTAGCGCGCGAGACTGAAGGCCCTGGGTTCGAATCCCGTGAGTGGAATCGTGGATGCGCACTGCTGAGGAGTCCCACAATAGGACGAAACGTCCGTCCAGTGCTTCCAGGTTTCCAATGGTGGTCTAACATTGTTTCATTCATGATATCAATCTAAACTCAACAATCTCCATAACCCTATACTGATAATTAAATTTATAATAAATTTTTAATAAAATTTTGTTGTCACTATACGTAGAATGCAGTCCATTTAGTAAAAAAATATATTAAACTAAACTACTGGCTGATATATACATTATAAATCGATGAGACATTTCGAAAATTGTCAACAAATTGAAGGTATTAGTGTGGTGTGTACTACTGATGTCGATATATATATGTGGTAGTATGTATCATCAATCGAAAATGAAATACCTGATGGCAGAAGGTTAAGAAGGTCAAAGAAAAGAGAACGACGGCAGAGAATGATTGGTATGGAAACGAATGGACAATAAATTCTGGGACGATTGATAGATAATTTGCAAATGAAGTATTTACTTTATGATTTTTAGATTTCACTAAGAGATTCTGTCATTTCGTATTCAAATACACTTGATTGTCCATAGTTGTATTCTCGTTTTTTACATTAAATGCTTATTTAATGATATTTTGACATCGTTTAGAGGGAAAATACTATGTAAATCATTTCAGATGGCAGTATATCAATAAAGTAATCATTAAATTTAACTTCAACGACTAAAGTTTTCAACCTTATTGAATCAATGATAAACTAGGACTTTTCTTTCGGTTTATGTTCAGAAGGATTCCTCTGTTAAACGTTAAGTGTCATGCACTCCAGTTCCTGTCACTTAGCTAGGTGGATGTATTTTAGTGTTTGATCAATAAAGATATACCAGTACTTAAAACTGATTCGTAGATTGGTTGAAGTTAGACATTAACACTATTGGATGGCTGCTACCTCAGTGGTCTAGGGTTTAAGCGTTCGCTCATGAGGCCGAAGGTCCTAGGTTCAAATCCCGTAGTGGGATCATGAATGCGCGCTGCTGAAGAGTCCCATACTAGGGTGAAACGGCTGTCCAGTTCTCGTAAGTTTTCCATGGTAATCTAGCTTTAATTGACTCATGAACTCAACTATTAAATTAATTCTAATTAGTCAATTTTGCATAGCCAACTAATTAGTTGATTGAATTTGTGTTCAAATTTAACTAAATCATTCATAAAAATGTATTCCGACTTACCATAATAATGTAAATGTATATACAACACTAATAAAATCACAACTACCTAACTCCAAATATGTTTTTGTTTTTCCGACCAATCGTTATCAAGTTTAATAAGCCAATCATTAATACAGTAGAGACAATAAGACTAACAGTATACATACCTATGAAAGTTTTGTTTGATCAACCTCCAAAAATCCACTACAAAGTTAGTTTTATGAACGTTTGATTTCTGGTACATATAGTAAAAAGATTTCATCGAAGTTCTTTCCAAAATCTTTTGTATTATATTACAAAACTATTATTGGTGATTGTTTAGTATCTCTGTCACGTCTAGCACTAAACCTATCGTTAAATTTTTTATAGTTGTATATATATTTTGAATATACCCATTAAATCAAAAGATAATTTATTCAGCAAAGACTTCCTTTACAATGACTTCATGAGTGCTGTTAGAGACATGAGGGTGTTTATCACTTTCCGGTTGCCTACACCGATGGTTCTCCCAGAAATACATCAAAGGAAAATCGGATCAGAATCAGTCTTAGTGACAAAACCACGACTAAACCATCCAGCTCCAGGAACAAAAATCCATAAAAAAAGACGGGGAAAACTACAATGAATATTTCTTTGGAGCAACTAGAAACCTATATGGAGCGTGTCATTCAGACCTGTATGCACAGTCCTTCGCAGTAGTGAAGGTATTATCACAATTTCAACACGTATGTCACTAGTGTCTACTAGTGATGTCTCGAAACCTCGCAAACGTGATAAAAAGGCTATTCCCAAGTGTAGAGATCTAACTGATCGACAACGGCTAGATCAACGTTTCAAAAACATCGATCTACAACATGTCTCAGGAACAGACGTATTACGAATGAAATAGGTCACTGGTCAACGGACCTTTGATGATGGCCTGTTAAGATAACTTTTTTGTTTAAGCTTCCCCAACAGGTTTACGTAGAAATTGTTTCATTTCACAACAACGCTGTAGACAAGCTTGTTGCATCCACCGACCGAGATCACCAAAACTTCGGACAACGAGCTACACAGGACTTTGTTACTGAGCTCTTTCGTGCACCGACCTGTTACCTTACTGATCGTCATGACCTTAGATGATTCAAAACTTCTCTAAGTAGTATTTCACGGAAACAACCTGTCTCTAGATCACGAGAGACAGGTAATTCTGATTGCTTCTCGTATCATAATCAGTACTTAAAGTCTTGAAATTGTAGAAAACCCTGTAATTTTCCAATCTCCAAGCCAACTGACACAAAAAACACTTCGAGGAACTTTCCTGCCGGCACGCGTTAACGGCAACCGTAGCCGGTGAACATAACCATCTGTTATACATCAGTGATGTGATCATGAAAGTTCGTTAGCTCGTCAACACTGGTGCAGGAGGTAGCATTCTTCCAACAAATCATAACGATCGACTGCGCGAAGCAGTTTCAAATTACAGGCGGCAAATGAGTGACCGATTGCCACGTATGGTAAGAGGTATGTTTGACATAACGTAGGTTTATGTCTTAGTTATTGCAGATGTTTCTATGGCAATCATTGGTTTAGAACTGCAAGAACATCATAGTCACCTCATCGACAACATTGAACGGATGTTAGAAGATGGGAATACTAATTTATCTGTCTGTATAATCTCTTTCTCTGGTTGTAGATTGTCTCGAGTCACTGTGAGGCACGTGACCGATTCACACTATCAACAAAAACTCGATAAGTAGCCCGAGATATACCAAATGCCACCGAAATTACAGTGTGTAACCAGCAATGTCAAACATCACATCATAAATACAGGATAAGCTGTGTCCTTGAAGGCTCGCTGACTAGCTCCCGAAAAGCTGAGGTTGGCTAAAACAGAATTCGACTAGGTGATAGACTAGAGAATCGGTCGACCGTCAAACAGCTCACTGGGATCTTTCTCGCACATGGTCCCTAAAAAGGAAAACAATGAGTGGTTTTTAGGTGGTAACTACCGGAGACTGAATGAGAAAACCATTTCTGATAGCTACCCATCGCCTCATACTCACGATTTGACGACCACCTTGAAAAGCACAGTAGTATTTTTTTAAACTCAACTCGATTATACCATATAAACAAATTCCGATGACTGCTGACGACGTTCCCGAAACCGCCAACCACACACCTTTCGGTCTCTACGAGTTTTCGCTTATGCCTTTCGGCTTAAGAAATGTTGCGCAAACATTCCACAGATTGACCGATGATGTTTTTCGAGGTCTCAACTTCGCACATATATTGTTGACTTCTTGGTTGCAAGTTCGGACAGAGAATCTCATCTTTAGCATCTGGACCTTGTCTCCAAATGACTGCGAAAACACGACATTACTGTAAACATTTAAAACAGTCCATTCGGTGCCGACCCTATAGATTTTTTCGAACTTGCTATTCATACACAAGGCATATAACCTCTAAAAAGCGAAGTGGCAGACATTGTGGATAACTCAGAACCGACCACAAAAGTTAGGAACTGATGGCCAATGCAACTTTGCTTGCACATCAGGACACCGGAGAACCCATTAGTATCGCAGTAGGCGCATCCGACTCGGCCATCGGAGGAGTCTTACAACAATGGGTTAGCCACATCTGGCAACCTTTTGCATTCTTCCCGAGACGGTTGCAAGACAATGAATCGAGGTAAGGCGCTTTCAGTAGGGAACTTCTAGATATGTATTGCACCGTGCGGCACATTCAACACTATTGAAGGCCGAGAATTCGCTCATTTCATCGATCCTAAACCTCTTAAGTTTTTTTAAGCTGGTTTTCAGACATATACTCCTTTTGAGAGTCTGGACAACTGGATTATATTTCGCAATTTACTCCAGACATTCAACACATGTCTGGAGCAACTAATGTAATTGCATACGCTTCCTGGAACATTTTTCGAGGAATATAACTTCCTAAATTCTCTCAGCTTCAAAAAGAAGACGCTGAACTTCACCATGAGCTACCTTCGACAACCCTGAAACTACGTGCCAAACAGATGGGAACAGGTAGAGAAACTTATTTAGTTAGCTATCGTCTAATCGTGCCAAAACATCATCCACGCCACGAAATGCACGTATATAAGTTTATTTTCCATTTTCGCCCGTTTTATGGCTTCGTGTACGTACAAGTGTGATTTGACGCACACTCACATTTCTTTTACCCTCTTCTCGGACGGCTGGATTAGATGAAGAGAGCGACGAAGTTTACGATAAATTTAGATTTTCATTGTATTTATTTTTCATTACTATTTTGTATTACGTGACTCCTTATGGTAAAGAAAGACGATCAGACACCGCTGAACATTGCAAGCTATCAGAAGAGTAAATACCAATGACAAACTTGTTGGGTTTTAAATTCTGACTGACCACATCTTAAAGTCATCACTACCCCACTAGAAGGTAGTGGTCTGTAATGATAAATAAATCCTTAATTTGCGAACGAGAACGAGATTCGATGACCAAGAGCAGTAAGCTAACTATTAACGCGTCCAAGCCCCGCTATTTAAAGTGAGAAGACCAAGCTTAGAATGGAAGTATATTCTGCGACAACCAGAAAACGGGCGATTCATCGGACAATTTTAAAACGTATATATACAAGTACATATATATTGATATTGCCATGGAGCTTTTAGACATTTAATCGATAGTTCGTCAATTGAATATGTGCGTTGGTGGTTAGAAATGCCTACGTATACATCTGCATACAAGCTCCACAAGATAAAATTACAAACTATGAGTTTTTGGGGATCTATTGTCCCCAACAGTGTGCAAAGCCTAGGTCGTCTAACTGCACCCTAGTTGTCCGCTGTTTCGCGTGCTTCCCTTTAGATGTTGACGTCTTCATGATCCAGTCGATCACCAGGAAAAAGAGAAGGGGTGAGAGATATAAACCTTGCCTGACGCCGGCCTATACTTCAAACGAGTCTGTCAATCGTCCTCCATGCACGATTTTGTAGTTTAATCCATCATAGGAATTCTGTATGATATTGACTATCTTCCACAGCGTTGTCCTGTCCACGCTTCCAAATGCTTTTTCGTGGTCACTGATGTTGATTCAGAGCGTTGAATTCCATTCAAATGATTGTTTCACAATGATCCGTATTGTTGCGATTTGATCTGTGCACGATCTATCCTTAAGGAATCCTGCCTATTGATCGCGAAGTTGTGCGTCTACGGAGTCCTTCATCCTGTTTAACAATACCCTGTTGAAGACTTTTCCTGGTATTGAAAGAAGAGTGATTCCCCTGTAGTTGTCACAGTTGCTGAGATCGCTTTTCTTTGGTATTTTGATTAGAAGTCATTTTTCCAGTCTTTTGGTACCTGTTCCTTATCCCAAATCTTTCTGAAGAGAATGCGGAGTATCCTTGCAGTTACCGCTACGTCTGCTTTCTGTGCCTCTGCCGGAATGTTGTCTGGTCCTGCTGCCTTGCCACATTTAATTTGTCTGATGGCCATGCTGATTTCTTCAACTGTTGGTGGGCCAACATGGATTAGGAGGTCCGTGAGTGCTGCTTTGATGTTGGGTGGGTTCAGTGAGGCTGGTCGATTCAAGAGTTCTTGGAAGTGTTCTACCCACCTGTTTCGTTGTTTTTCAATTTTGGTGATTATCTTGCCTTCCTTGTTTTTCACTGGTCATTCTGGTTTACGGTGATTTCCAGTGAGTTTCTTTGTTGTGTCATACAGTTGTCTCATGTTTCCTTCTCTTGCAGCCTTTTCCGCCGTCAATGCCAAATCCTCCACATATTTACGTTTGTCAGTTCTGACGCTCCTCTTCACTTGCTTGTTTACTTCTGTGTATTCAGCCTGTGCCTCGGCTTTTTCTGCTCTTGATCGACTGGTATTGATTGCTGCCTTCTTGTTCCTCCTTTCTTGAATTTTATCCAGTGTATCGACCGTGATCCAATCATTGTGATGGTGCTCCTTTTGGCCCAGAACCTCATGACATGTTGAAGCGATTGCCCCTTTTACCACTTTCCAGCTGCTCTTAACAGTAGTTTCCTATCCATTGATTAAATCATGAAAGGTCTTAAGTTTATTGCTGAGGGCTATCTTGAATTCGTTGAGTTTGTCAGTATCCCATAGAACAGCCATATTAAACTTTTGTGACATTTTCCGCCACGTTGTCCAGTGGTTCTTGAGTTTCAATTTCATCTTGGTGACCAGCAAGTGATGATCTGATGCTATATCGGCTTCTTTCTGTGTTCTCATGTCCTCCATCGTCCTCCTGAACTTTTTGTTGACGCAAATATGGTCGATTTAGTCCCGCATCTTGTGATCTGGCGGAGTCCATGTGGTTTTGTGTATGCGTTTATGTGGGAATATAGTGCCACTTATGGCCGGTTTATTGAAGGCACATAGATTTACAAATCTCTCACTATTTTCGTTCCTTTCTCCCAGTCCATGTCGTCCTATGATGTTTTCATATCCGGTGTTGTCCATTCCAACCTTGGCATTTAAATCTTCCATCAGAATGGTCACGTTCTTTGTTGGACACTTCTCGACGATTGACTACAGCCTATCGTCAAATTATATGAATCACTCCTCGATGTACCGATATTCTATCAAATATGTTTTCAAATCTCTTCGATCCTGACCTCTGATTGCACTGGGTTGGCATGTTTTGATTATAAAAGTTGTTACTGGATATGGCGTTGTCAAATTCTGAATACTTGTGTCATCTTTATAATGTTTGCAGACCGTCGCTAAGATATGAAGTTTCGTAAGGAACAAGATATACCGAAGCTCCTAAAAGACTTCACAGTAGTATGGGCGATGAACATTAAGCAAACATTTAGCGTCTCAAAATGTAACATTACAAGCATCCATCCTCAAAAGACAAACAAGTCAGATTTTTCTCTCAGGTAGTTTCCATACAGCGCAATTCAGGTTTTTCGGCCACGAAGAGCTCGGAAACCAGCTAAAACCACATTGAGAATGTAACCGAAATAGATGTATGAAGCTCACCCCGAAGTTTACAAGGTTCCCATCCTCATTCATCTTAAGAGATATAAGTCTCATAGATGAAGTACAGAAACAAACTGAGAAATAAGTTCTTCGGATATAGACCCTAATGTTTAGGATTCTTCTGTTTGATCTGCAGGATAGTAAAATGTGATCTGAAATGCACCCCAAATTACTCCAACACAACGTTCTATGAGCGACTGCTACAACAAGGAACACGACGTAATGGAAGTTAAAGTGAGCCTACACCTGTTCTCCATTTTGAATGCTCCTCCAGCAGAGCTGACCATAGTTACTTTACTAGAGAGCTCCGTGAGGAAACATGGCAAACACGAAGACCACTATCTTTCATCTGCACTAGCTTCACATGATGCAGGTCTCGTAACTTATCCACCACCGTCATTAGCACATCACAAGCTGATTTTTCTTCTGCCTCTTATCACCTCCGTTTGCCTGTTATTAGTGCACTTCGGTTTCCTCACACTATTCACATTATTAGTAAATTGATTAATTATGAAAAATTTTACGGATACTAAGTATTTGCCAGTACTACAATCCTCAACCTCTTCTTCCGCGAAGAGCTCGAAGCCGTCCAAATAGAAAGTCGGGATCGATTGGGTGGGGAAGTACTTTTTGAACAATGGTTGATTGGTTAGAGTGTACGCAATCCAAGCTGACTATTTGCAACAAGAGTCATGGAGCATGGTGTATGCAAATGTTATCTGGTGTGAATTGTGTATCTAGTAAAGCTAGTGAGGTCAGCATCAATGTTGAAGACATGAAAAACTATTTTTCGGGATTAATATGCCACTACAATTGGATTTCTTCTTCAGACAATCGTTTACTATCACTTCTTGTTCATTAAAATTAGTTGTTTATTATTTTGTTAGGTCGTAACGGACTAACCTTCAGGCTGGTAATGTAATAGTTACTAATCTAGAAATCCGGATGTAAACACAGGTGAATTTATTTTGATCCGAAGGTATAAAAACTCACAAATAACTACCAAACTAACTACAACTGATGCAGTGGAGTGGCTTGACTACCGCACATTGGACGTTGCAAGAGACCTGTAACCGTACCAAAACAACAAAAGATGAATACAAAAATATTATTGCCTTACATTGGCTCACCGAAATCTGTCTGATCATTCACGTGGAAGAGTGTTTTAATCATTCAAATTTAGTTACTACATTCACACTGTTCGGTGTGACGGTTAAGAATTCTGTTGGAGTAAATGAGACATTGTTTGGTTTGTGTATAAGGTAGTAGATACCAGCTAGAGCTCGCTCAAAAGTCACACGGGATTTTGTTGGTTTGTTGTTTTTCAATACTTGAGATTGGTGCTGTTCATTCGACTTAAGCTTTATTTGTGTAGTTTTAGTTAAACATTCTGCACATAATGAACCTCAATGTATTAGACATTATAGTGCTCGTAATATATTTTGTAGCCTTATTGGGTACTGGGATATATGTAAGTTTTGTTGCGTTTTGTAAATAACAGTTTTTATCAGGCATTGTTTGCATCCAGAAGAGGGACTATTACTGGTTATTTTTTAGCTGGCCGGTTTATGACATGGCTTCCCGTAAGTCTTTTATGTTGATTAAAAAATAATAACAAAGGTCGGTGCATCATTATTTGCGAGTAACATCGGAAGCGAACATTTTATTGGTTTGGCCGGGTCAGGAGCTGCAGCTGGCATAGCAGTCGGCGCTTTTGAACTGAATGTGAGTAAAGTTTTCAGTAACTCACTTAATACATAAAAGCAAACTATCAGCAAGATATTGTCTTATTGCCATAATATTTGTTAAGCATACAGGTTATAAAAGTCATTATTTAGTCATGCTACGTCATAACCTCCTGATAAAATAACGTGTTGTACTTTACTTTTAAGGCGTCAATTTTACTTCAACTTCTTGGGTGGGTATTCCTGCCGGTGTATATTGCGAGTGGAGTACGTTCTTGTCGGATCACATAACTTGTTATAGGTATTTACATTGCCGGAGTACATGAAGAAACGATATGGTGGAGAAAGAATACACATGTATCTCGCTCTTTTGTCTCTCATATTATATATTTTTACAAAGATTTCTGTAAGTTGACTTGTTTTAACTTATTTAATTGTGTATTTTTGACTATTTAAAATGTATTCATGGGATATTTGCATATTTGTTTGACATATATTTATACAAAGATGTTATTGCTGATATATTCTCCATTTTTGATTAACACACTCAACTACTTCACTCACTAGCCAGAGTAAGCATCCATGCAGACGGCCACTGAATTAATTGGCATTTAAAGGATAATTGACAGCCCAAACACCTACATGGTTAATCACCAACACAGAACCTTGAATATATGTATGTTCCATTCGCCATAACTTAGACAACATAAAAAAGAAAACGAACAAGATGAAAAGCAAAAGAGAAGACTTGATTTTACCCACAACTTGTATTGAGACAAAAGAGATACAGCTCAATAGGAGGAAATGATTTCAAATAATAGAGAACAAGGGAGGATATTTAACGTGAAATTTAATTGAAGATAAAGAACTATTGTGATTTTGCCGTCGAGATCAATTTTTGGCCTTGTTATCAAAAGTTGCCACTCATTTAATTTTGGTACTACACTAACTAGACTTAAAGCGTACCATTTTCTGGAGGTTAGCAAAGATCGATCTCAATAAAAATGAGAAATTGAAATGCCCTGATGATTGTGAATTAATATGACCGATCCGAACGTTGTTGACCATACGATTATTTTGATCTCCCCGTCACACTCAGGGGGAAAAGCATGACTAATGGAAAGTTAGAATTATTTCCAAAGTGTTTCGTCCATCATTCTCATTGGTCAACCCGAAAATAGACAAAGCTTTTATCCCTCCCTAAGACGTCTTCACTAACTGTGAACTCAATCAGTCTAGACGGCTGTCTGGCGTTAAACATTCTTAATACTTTTTCTACCTCACTTTTTTATGTTACTCACTGTTACTCTCAGTCACCATTAAGAAGTTCTACATTATATTTTTAAGTCTGCTTCTTTCATGGTTTTCATAGCTCATCAGAGTGAGTTTTAAAGCTAGTGTCAAACTAGTTTCTTGTTTCTGATACATCAATATTTGAGGTCATCTCTTAGTGGCATTTTTACTGAGATTTTCCTAGATTTAGTAGAGCGCATACAAACACTTGTTTGTACCAAAGCATCATTAGAGTTCACATATGTGCTAAAGATAGAATACTAGCATCGTAGTCTATTCAAGTTTGGATGTCGATAGTATGGTCGAATTTTATCCTCTAGTGAATGAATTTCCGGATTCGCAAGCCAATTCGGTGTTTTGAATCTGTAACTCATACTTATTATAAGTGAATAATTATGTGAACATGAATACAGCAGCCAGTCACTGTCATGTATTCTAAGGTCTAGAACCTATTGTACGAAATAAAGTCTCAATCATCATGTTGTTGGAAAACCAATCAATTCATGTCAAGAAAAGATACTTAAATAGAAATAATAAGAAGCTTAGGGTATTGCGTACATTTTGAAAGCAAAACCGATATGTGAAGACTGAATTTACTACATAATGGTTATGTTTTACTTCTCTTAACAGTTAATCAAAAATACTGTTCGCGGAGTTTGTTAGAAATATTATTTGAAGATAAGTTTTTATTTAGTGCTGTTAAAAATCTGAACTTCATTCCCTTCCGATTAGACTTTGAGGTCAGATAACTTCGTTTTATGAACAATATTGTTGTTTGTTGCACCAAAAACATAATCAAAGTCGATCCCATCAAAGTTTGCTAAGAATTCGTCTTTGAAAATAAAGCTAAACCACCCCTATTTCGTAACCTGGCTCAGACTCTTTACAACTGTTATGTACTAGCTCAAAATTTGAAAGCACTTAATCTTTAAAACACGTTATATAATATTTCGACAACCTGTAGAAATAACAGGCACCCGAATTTAATCGGTTTTGTTTCCTTGAGTTACTGTTCAGTTACAAGTCTTTCCAAAAACTACAGTCAGGACAAGATCTTAAAACACTGACCTACAAGACGTTATTTCGTAGATTTCTTATTAGATTTCAGTTTTAAATCTAAAAATGAGTAGGGTAAGCCAGTTGAAATTGGCGCACGGCTGTCAGACTATGGCGTCTGCTCAAAATGAACATTTGGACATTATTTGAATCCGTAGTTCTGTTATCAGCACGTTTTTAGAGATTTCCAACAATTACCGGGTCATTTACTTTTGTACTCTCCGTATATATCTTTAGAGTTTAGACTCAATACAATTCTTGGGGTTCATTGCATTTTATTGCTATTTAACTACGTTATTTTTGGATAATTAACCGCATGAATTTTACTTTATGTACTGAAACGTTTGATATAGCTAGTTAACTCAATGTTGTATGACGTTCTACTATGTTTCACACCTAACCCGACCGATTGCAATGCATAATTACGAGATCTCGATTTTTGATGATCATTAGCTGATCCAAGTACTCAACAAATAATTTGTTACCATTAGTTGATATTATCCATGCAAGTATATAATTGTAAACTGTTGATTTTAGGTTAATTTATATTCAGGTTCACTGTTTTTAACTGAAGCATTAAAATGGAATACTTGGGTATCAATAGTTTTGCTGCTTTTCCTGACTGGTCTTATTACTGTTACCGGTAAGATTCCGTGGCTATTTTCTCTAAATTTTAAACACGTATCAAGATGTATTCGAATCGCTACGTTTATTTGAATAAATTATATTAGTCTCTGAACGACCAAAATTGTCTAACTAAATATACAATGATCGAATAGTAGGTTTCATAATCATCAACGTGCGTTGGCTTTATATACTGTTTTGCTGGATGTGGGCAGTTTTATAAAATGAATTTAAATGACCAACCTTATGCATTTCAGTTTACTCTATTGTGTTTGCTTAAATATAGGAGTTTCGTTGTAAGATCGTTCCTAACGAGTATCAAAAGGAAATGTAAGTGTCAAGTCCATTTTTGTCATTATAAACGTTTTTAATTCAATCTCAATGTATATAGAAAATACAAATGTTTATTTGCAATCCTTGCTGTTCAACTTACCGCTTTATGAGTGGAAAAGAATATTACGTTCTTGAGTTGCTGAAATAGACTTCAAAACCAATGATTTCAGTTGTGAGAAAATTTTGTAACTTTTCTATAAGGAAATATTTTTTTGGACAAAGTTCTACTCTTTGAATAAAAATCACATAAGAAAGTTATGATACTCTTCTATCATTCTCTTTGAAACATTGTTTCTGCTTTTATGCAAAAGCATAAACTAATTCAGTCCACATGATCAGATTAAGCATTGATGCAAATGAATGCTGAAGCAATATTTGGCATTTAAACAAAGAATAGCCCATCTAAAACACTTTGTCGGGAACGTTTATTTAAAACTACTTATAAGTTATCTTTATGTACGAGAATCGGAATTTTAGTCCCTAAGAATGCCGCGATGGTAATCCCTCCCATATACCTCATACAAAACACTATTTCTTCCCCATTCGATAAAAAATAGTTACTCTATTTTTGAGGTGTTTGTACAGTAGTTTATATCCATATACTGTATGCTTAAGTTAATATTCTTTGGTCTTCTCTTGTGTATCTTCATGATACAATTTTTCTAGAATAAACAGGGGTAAAATTAAAGAGAAACTGTTTTATCTCAGTATTTAACTTACATATAGGAGCTATTATCGTCGATTTCAAGACTGTCACTGTCACATTGTTTCACATGGCACCAAGAGTGCCTTGTATTTTGAATTTTCTTCACAAAACCGAGTCATTCAGTCATCGTCAATACAAAACCTTGAATATATGTATGTTCCATTCGCCATAACTTAGACAACAACATCAAAAAGAAAACGAACAAGATGAGAAGCAACAGAGAAGACTTGATTTTACCTACAACTTGTATTGAGACAAAAGAGATACAGCTCAATAGGAGGAAATGATTTCAAATAATAGAGAACAAGGGAGGATATTTAACTCGGGTTTATTCACAACCACTCCACACAGATCAGGTATTTAACTACAATGACGTTAAAGCTTTGTTCAAATTTCAAGGATCCACTACAGCACGTCTACATTATGAGAAAATGAAGAAAAATATCAAATGACATTTTAAAATATCATCTAACCACACAACTTTGCCAAGCCATTTCTACCAAACTCATCAACAGGAACAGAATTAAGTGTCACAACCGACTACAAACAACTTACGAGAAATCAAATCCGGGTTACTACATCTCTTCAAAATAGGCATAGCTGATAAACCAATCAGTTTTATACCAACCAAATTATAAAGTGAGAAAAGAAAGAATGGCAAACACTGTTTAAACAATAAACTGCTCTAACTGCAAGAAACATTAAATCGAACGAAGTGGCTGCGCTCTTCGGCTTCGCCTGCGTTAACACCAACTAGCGATGTATTTCGCTTATATCAATGAAGATAGACAATTGTGTAGACACGTTCAACTGGGAAAATGATGAGATCTGGTAGAAAGGAACTACCAAGATAACTAGATAATTTTTAGAAGCTTGGCACTCATTTCAATCGACAATCAATAAACATATCAAAATTGATCGAATTTATTAATCATTTAGAGAAATCAATTAAAAAATCAAGATTCAGGTCAGTGAAAGACAATCAAGATAAATATGCAAGCGATGACAAAATAGAGGTCAACAGCATTTTGTCAAGGTCAATATAACAAGCCGCTAGTCATATGTGGATAAATCCATGTACCTCACTTCCATCTGGAATTTGTTCTGATGATGTCTTCTGGAAAATAATGAGTTTCACATTTAAAACCCCCTAGCTCAGTGAACACAACTCAATCAAAATTCTAATAATTCTCCAACTGTTTGCAAGTGACTCAGTTTGTCGTTTAGGGTTAAGCTGTCATTCTTAATCTGATTGCTATATTTGTTTTATTTACTCAACTCACAAGGTACAGTGAATGGATTTTAACGTATTGAGAACAATTCATAGTGAATAGAAATGAATATTCCTCAATGGGATGATTTCAACATGAATAATATAGGTCTTCAGATTGGATTTAATGGTGCCTTAGTTTCTTATTTAAAGCAAAAAGCAGAAATAAACACAGAAAACTAGTCAGTTTTAACTCAAGTCATACATGACTTTAGTATTCCATAAATCACGCATTAATGTTAAATAGAATTTAATCAGTTTTTTGATGACCAGACTGATACATGTATTGAACATTTCAGTTAACAAACTGATACTTACTTACTTACTTATACCTGTTTCTCCTCGTGGACGAACATAGGCCGCCCACCAGCACTCTATCTAATTCTGTACTGGGCAGTCCTTTCCAGCTCTTTCCAATTGTTACTCATCTTTTTCATATTTGCTTCTATTTTCCAATGTAATAAACTGATAAATTTTGTCGAATTTTGAAACAATTATCATCAACGATGAATTTCAGCCACACATAAAGGGATAGGTATTTAGGTTTATTATAGATTGCTTCACTCAAATGTGTACATAGTCTCAGAATTCAATTCTTATCTTCATTTAGAATTCTTTTTCATCAATCAGATTATGGCTTAAAATAATCATTATATTGTGTTGAATTTACTGTTATATTTGAATTCCTACTGTAAGACATGACAAGTATCAATAACTCTATTCTACTAGTTAAGTTAAATGGGTTTTATCCAGAAACAATGGAAACTATAGTATTTAACCAGCTGTAACAGTCACAAACCAGTTATAACGGTCGAACACTACCGCATCTGTGACAATACGGGCAAGAAAATCGCAGGAATATTGAAGTTTAGTTTACTATACAAATCACATTGTCTGGTAATTGACGGCATTTCTGAAACTGATAAGGTTTGTATCCTTGAGACCGATGATTTTTCTGACAAATACTAGAGTTATGTAATTTGATTAGCAAGATACTGAATTGTGTACGCGAATGGTTGAAACAGTCGTTATTAAAACTAGGGGTGATACAAAAGTTTTCAATAGTTTGTAAATGAAAGACAAGATTTAGATAAATTTTCCTCAAGTTTTAGAGTGCTTACACCAGCAAAAAAGCAATCGCGAAGATGTGTTTCACCGATTGACTGTTTAGTGATAGATCAAATCTTTATTATTTAAAAAAAAATGAGCTCTTCTATTTTTGCCGAGGCAGAGTATCTGGAAGTAATCGGTAACAGCTTCTAAGTAAGTAGAAGATGGTGGAGTTTTATAGGAAGCATAAGATTTCTGAACATGATACATATTTCTTTATTTGTTTCTGTAGTGAAACGGGAAAATATTTTATTATTTGAATTGCTTGATAAACATTATTTATCAATCCATTGTAAACAGCCTGTGGAAATACACAGAAAGGCGACTGTTCATGGTTTTATTATGATGATACTGATCTGATACTAATACACAACATCCTACGCATTAACCACTCAAACTGACTATTTGGGCGAGAAGACAAGACTGGAATAGGAAGTCTGTTGAGCTACCAAACAATATCCATGTGGAGGATCCCAAAAACATGGAAAATATTGTTCAGAATAATGTCAATATTAATGCATAATGAAGATAATCGATTTCATTTATTCACTCTTATTTGTTTCAGGTGGATTAGCAGCTGTTCTATATACAGATACACTACAGTTTTTCGTGATGATAATTGGTGCCTTAATATTAGCCATAATAAGTAAGTTTATTGACTAACTACTATTGAAGCTTTTAAGTTCAAACGGTTTTGAAATAGTCATTGAAAATGGATTTATCTGAAGTAACTTGTTCGATTCTTAACTTTCCTATCAAAATGAATGTATTTCTCAATAGATATCAAGAACTGGAACTCTATATTTGACAGTTTTATAAATACCAATTATAAATTACCTCTGATTTGCCTCTCGGCTCTCTGAGCTAAGATCATGTGTGTTCTGATTTAATTGAGATATCTAATTCATTATTGTCATGTTCTTTATTTCTTCTTTAACCCTAATATAATGCAAATAGCTCCCGTTAAGTTGGTTAATTACTTGAAATATAAGAATCATTAAGTAGTTGTTGCTTATTCATTAACTTAACTGGATGAAAAATTGTAAACAAATGGTAATATAAAAATTAAGATGAATTTGACGATGAATTTAACATTCATACTATATGATGATGTAGAACAGGATAATTCACTAATTATAATGGTTTGATAAGTTTATACTATAAGTCTATGCCAAATAAATATCTAATGTTATAACTAAATAAGGATTGATACTATTCTTTATCATCACTTAATGGTGTCGTTATTAAGATTAGCGTATGATATAAAGTTTACTGTACAAGTTATTTCTCCAACTAACCAGTATATAAAAATTTAAAACTAATCTCCCTGTGAATAGAGGTTAAATATTATTTGACAGTGAGATGGTTTACTATACAAATCACATTGTCTGGTAATTGACGGCATTTCTGAAACTGATAAGGTTTATAACCTTGAAACCGCTGATTTTTCTGACAAATACTAGAGTTATGTAATTTGATTAGCAAGATACTGAATTGTGTACGCGAATGGTTGAAACAGTCGTTATTAAAACTAGGGGTGATACAAAAGTTTTCAATAGTTTGTAAATGAAAGACAAGATTTAGATAAATTTTCCTCAAGTTTTAGAGTGCTTACACCAGCAAAAAAGCAATCGCGAAGATGTGTTTCACCGATTGACTGTTTAGTGATAGATCAAATCTTTATTATTTAAAAAAAATGAGCTCTTCTATTTTTGCCGAGGCAGAGTATCTGGAAGTAATCGGTAACAGCTTCTAAGTAAGTAGAAGATGGTGGAGTTTTATAGAAAGCATCAAAATCATCCACCTGAGCTACAAATCTTCTCCACCATCTCAAAATCATATGAGCGTGATACGCTTCTCGTTGTTCGAAAGTGGGAGAATTTCGCCAAAAGGCAAGCTTCCACTCGAGAACAACTATATTTTCTCCATGAGTGTCTTCGCCAGCATGTTCTACCAACAAGTGTAAGATATAGACCTCCAATCAACTGCCCATTAGGATGGAAAATAGCTGAGCAAAGTGGAAGGAAAATGGTACACCTAATGATAACAGATTCGCATTACAGAATCCGCAAATACCAACACGTCATAGAGGAACAAAAGATGAAGCTACAAAGGACACTCACGTCAGAACATTTAGAAATCTTGACAACAGCCATCGAGATATCATGTAAACGACACAGAGAACAAAGAAGAAACACCCTAAAGAAAAAACTAATCAAGATCTCAAAAGCACCCAAGGAAGAAAACACAAACAACTGCGTGATCAATCTATCAAAACAACCACTAACAAACACGGAAGAACGCCTACTCCAAAAAGGATTAAACTACAACACAAGCGACGCCTCAAAACTAGAATTCTTCGCAGCACTGGAGTCATCACTCAAAACTTCTGGATTCAGTGAGGAAACACAACAAGAAATAAGGCAAACTATAGTACCGCTAACGCAACAAGTGAAAGAAAACAACCAACTGACCCCACAAGAACAAAAAGCCTTGAAGAATCTTAGGACTAGAAAGGATATTGTCATAGTTCCAGCGGACAAAGGACGCACAACAGTAATTATGGACAAAGAGGAATACCTCAAAAAAGCCGAACAACTACTTGAAGATAAGAACACATACAAACGGATAGATATAAATCCTGTCAAAAAATTGGACAACAGAATCTCAAAGACATTAAACAAGCTAGTCAAAGCAGGAGAAATAACAAAACAAGATCAATGGAGAATGAAATCCAATGGACCAGTACTCCCCCGATTCTACGGCAGACCAAAAATACACAAACCAAGCATTCCACTACGTCCAATTGTAGCACTGCCCGGAACGCCAACATACAATCTATCAAAAGAAATTTCACGAATACTGAAACACTTAGTCGATTCATCCAACCACTCCATCAAATCCCCTACGCAATTCCTGGACCAAATTAAGGACATTCAAATCAACAACGACGAACTAATGATATTCTTCGATGTAACAGCATTATTCACCTCAATCGAACCACGACCAAACCATCCAGCTCAGAGAACAAAACTCCATCAAAATTATTTGACAGTACATACTTTACTAATGTTCTAATACTAAGATCTGATTTATACTATATAAGCTCATTAGAATCAATCGAAGAACAATTCGAAATATTTTATTGGTTTTTATAAATATTCAAACAAGAGCTATTCAAAGTTTATAGAAACACAACCGCCGTCTACCTTGATATGTGACGTTGGTTGCTACAGCAACTTGGACCGATATATATATATATATATATATATATATATATATATATATATATATATATATATATATATATATATATATATGTAATGTCAAGTCTTATGTTACTAATAACTGATTGAATTTGATCTTCTATTCTTAAAATTCTGACGAAATAGCATGTTGGATAGCTCATTTTAAAAGGTTCATTTGTTTTAACACATGTTGTTTCGTAGTGGCTAGTAATGGAGTCTACGATTGATTATTGAATTCACTAAGAGTTCGTTAGCTAGCTATTTAGGTTTTATAGTTTTAAACAAAGAAAGGAAAATAAGCTTCGAAGAATAAAATAATCAGTCTTTCTCTGCCATGGTAGCTAAGTATTAGTCAAATAATTTTTGAGTATTTTTAAAACAGATTTCCGTCTTCTAATTTTCATCTTCGACATGTTCCTACTGATTTTCACCCGAATTTTATTTTCCTTTCTATTCATATGTAATAATTATACAACCTTTTAGTAATTTCCTTATAAAATTTTGTAGTCCCCTTTCATTTTCTCTATGATTACTAGTAACTACAACATCGCCTGTTCTCCTCTGAGATATCACCTTCCAAGATATAAATACTGTAAGTAATGCATAACACAGAGTCTGACAAGTTTACACTGCTGCAAGTTGCTATACCACATGGCCGGTAAGAGTAGGGGATATTCGGAGGTTACTAGTATTCAATCATAGGTATCTTCGAAGCATTGCTCGTATATCCTGAGACCATCGATTAAGTATTGGAGTTGTTAGAAAAAGGGTATTAGGTAAGGGTGGCAAACCAATTGATGAAATAGTGAAACGTCATTAGTTGAGATGACTGTGACATGTTTTACGTATGCCCACTCACCGACTGCCCTGACGTGCGATGTTCTATGGTGTAGAAGTAAGTTGGAAGAAAGCTAGGAGCGACCATACCAAAACATGGCACAAATCCATCAAGTCACCGACAAATGGACTGAGCCGTGTTGGTAGGTGTGGACTACCTGGTTGGGATCGGCAAGATGATAGAAACCGATGGTTAGAGTCCTTGAATGACATGGCTCAAAATCGTTTGCCATGGCGCAGGTGCATCCTAAGCTCTAATCTTCTGAATTCTTCCTATCCCATTCTTTTTCTTTCTCTTTCCAGATATAATTCAATGGATTATACTCCTTGAATAGCATCTTCAAACCCTGATGTTTCTGATTACTGCTTTTACTCCTACTACCTTTACCACTCTGGGATTAGAATCGATAATTGTATCTCTATGCTAATGTGGTATGGCAACTCGAACCGATGTACGTACGTACGAAGTTTTACGTTGTTACTGACCGACTGACATCAGCACAGCAAGACAGAATCGCCAGGGAGAATCTCGGGGTAGAAGACGTAATAAGAGTATTATTCGTTACAGAAGTTAAGGATCGAAGTTACGATCCTGGAAAAAACGAATTCGGTAAAATAATCAGAAGAATTTTTGGAGAATTTGAAATCTTAAGATCTAAAAAAAGACAGAAAGTGAATACACCTGCGAATGATTTTGAGCCATGCCACCCAAGGTCTCCAATCACAAATTACGATAATCACGCGTGTCTCATCTGGTTGCTCCGAATCTACCTGAATGGATAACTCCAAATGTCAGTGGCTTTATGGAGTAATGCCATGTCTTGATTTCCTCGCCCATATCTTTTACGTATTGTTGAAGAAACAATTTAAAAATAAGGATGTTAATTTATTGTTTTTTTGTAAAACACAACTATTCAACAGACTAAAACGTCAACACTACTGTAACCAAGAAACGTTAAGTATCCATCAAACATAATGTGTGAAAGAATACCAAGACTTCTCTTCAAATATAATTGCAAATACTATGATTACGAATATTTTTTTAAGGAATTTCACAAGTGTTCGGTTTAGTTATATTTACACGTAAACGCTGAAATTTCATTTTTCTGTTTATCTATCTAGGCTATGTAAATGTTGGAGGCTTTAGTGGTGTCCTTTCTTCTTATGGTCATGCTATAGCCCCGATAAATGTCTCATCAAGTACAGATTCAGATATAATAATCAGTTTGGCGAATGTTCTTAACACAACAAATTATACTTCACTAACTCAATTGGCAAGTTCACCAGATGTCCCTTCTAGTTTGAGATGTAGTCTACCACCTGAAAATGCATTTGTATTATTACGTGGTATTGATGATCCTGATATGCCATGGCTTGGGTTTTTACTTGGTCAAACACCTGCATCTATATGGTATTGGTGTACTGATCAGGTATGTCATCGGAAATAACAATTAACCAAGTTTTATATCTTGAAAGATGACTGTATATTATTTTATTGTAACCATTTGTTTGTAGTTCAATTGAATATCAATGTGTAATGAAAGGCCAAAGATAACAGGGAATACTAAACTTTCCAAATATCTTTATTGACTATAACCTAGAATAATGTTGCTTAGGAGCAGTTATATAATCCTCAAATTACTGTAATCAGTTCTTATACACGATTTTATCGTCTAGTTATATATGTATTTTGGGTATCAGATATAAACCTTTCAAACTAGAACCAGTAGCAATGATCCACCTCTATGTTTTGATGATAACGACAATAGTGGCATAAATTTACAACTGTTTATAAGCTATAAGTAACACTCAGTAGCTAAGTGAATAACAGGATAGCGTTTGAAGCGAACGGTACTGCTGGGTTCGAGCCCCGGAGTGAACATCAGCTCCGAGATGTAGGTACATCCAGCTGAAGAGTCCCAAATAGAACGAAACACGCTTTGTCGTGGATTCCACTATCCATCTTTGCTTAAAGAACTTCTAACTTGAGGCTATGTCGAAGTAGTCCGTACGGTATGTTTCATTTATCTACTTCTCTTTTTTTACTGCTTTTCTTTATTGCATAACTTAAAAGTTAAAACTTTTTTGTTTTTGTTTAATACAATACAGATGATGGTACAACGTGTTTTAGCTGCAAAAAGTTTATCACATGCTCAAGGTGCTACATTAATGGCCGGTCTTATTAAACAGTTACCTTTGTTTTTAATTGTAATACCTGGAATGATAAGTCGAATATTGTTTCCAGGTAAATAAAATGTTATTTCTGTACAATTTAGTTTCAAATGTATTGTTTTTGAATCTATTATTTTTTTGAGAGGTTTGGTTCACGTCTTAGTTTACGATGTTAGCCAATTCTTATTTAGTCTATGTTACGTCCTTGATCTGTCTACGCACTATTGGCGCTGAGGTTAACTTGTCTAATCTAGATTAAGACCTTAACCTTGAGGCTAGTATGCGTGAGTTCGATGTGGGGTAGAGAGAAGAAAACTATTCAATCACCTGATTGGTTGACAAGCACGCGAGTAAGAGAAGACAAAACAACTGCAGCACTACTCGATCTATTCCCGATTTTCAGATTAATGTAAAAAAAGGTGCACGAACATTTAGATGACTAATCCGACAACAGTGTACAGTAATTGGGTTCGAATCTCGCGGGGAGCGAGGTCGTGGATGCGCACTGCTGAGGAGTCCCATACTAGGACGAAACGGCCGTCCAGTGCTTCCAGGCTTTCCATGTTGGTCTAGCTTCAATTGACTCATGATTTTAACCAGTGAAATTTCTAAAATATCCACACAACCCCTTCCGATAAAAGTACAATTATGTCAAAAGCTGGGGATTAGTGTAGAAAATAGGGTGCAAAATATTATGTTCAAATTACAATAGCTTTGGAACAAAAAGGGCTATAGCAGTGAATCATACATCAAACGAAATCCCACGTTCTGTAGGATAGAATAGGGACAAAAAGAAATATTAATGTTTTACAAGCTTCGAATTAACTGAAATAACGTCCTGAAAAATAGCTTTCGTGGTTTGTCAAGGCTTCTTGTTTCTCTGTTCACATCAGTCTATCCTTTTTAGTTTTTATGAAACCTGTCTAACTAATTGAGAAAACGGTTCATCAGTAACATTCGATTCTTTGTTACCAACGCTTGACTTACTTATAGGAATGTTAAAAGAGTACCTGTCTCCCTGATAGGTCAGGATAGTTGTTAAGCATAATCTGCTGTCACTGCCCTTTCTATCCCTTTTGATTCCATCGTTCACCACTGTGCACAATCATTACGCAAACTTTAGCCAGCATACTTTATAGTTGTCATTGACATTCATCGTTCTCCAAGACTGTCGAAATGGGTTTTTGAAGATTTATCAATTCAGTATATGCCATCAAAACTCGATGATGTTTCACCATCTTTGATTCAGTACCTGTTCGAGACCTATCGCTAGAGACAGAAATCTGTGTGGTAATGTGAGGTACAAAGTTTTAAAAACCAATCCTCTTTTGTGGAAAGACAGCATCACTGCAAATGCTAGTTACCTGACGGGAACACCTTACTACCGTCACATCTCAGCACAATCAGCAGTGCAACTTCATCTTTGGACCATAAATTTTCTGCTCTTAGTCTGATTGCTCTTTGTTCACTTACTTACTTACGAACTTAAACCTGTTACTCCCACTGGAGCATAGGCTACCGACCAGCATTACGTGACTCCTTATGGTAAAGAAAGACGATCAGACACCGCTGAACATTGCAAGCTTTCAGAAGAGTAAATACCAATGACAAACTTGTTGGGTTTTAAATTCTGACTGACCACATCTTAAAGTCATCACTACCCCACTAGAGGGTAGTAATCTGTAATGATAAATAAATCCTCAAAATCAATATCTCTGTAAGTCCTCGACATTTGATGCTGACCGCATTAGTATTACAGGACTCGCCTAGCTCAAGGCGTTCGGTCGCGCATCCGCGCCAGATCACGGGTGGGTACGAATTGCTTCACTTCTCCTACAACTGCTAGTCAGCTTACATTAGTTTATTTTACTTAGTTACAGCTGTTACTAATAATGGGGGAATAGGCCGCCGACCAGCATTCTCCAACCCACTCTGTCCTAGGCCTTCCTTTCTGATTCTATCCAATGGTTGTTCATTCTTCTCATATCTGTCTCCATTTCTCAGCGTAATGTGTTCTTTGGTCTTTCAATTCTCCTTTGCCATTCAGGATTACAAGTGAGGGTTTGCCTTGTGATGCAGTTGGGTGCTTTCCTCAATGTGTGCCCCGTCCACTTCCAGTGCTTCTTCCTGATTTCTTCCTCTGTTGGCATCTGGTTTGTTCTCTCACACAACAGTAGGTTGTTGTTGATAGTGTCTGACCAACAGGTCCGAAGTATTTTGCGTAGACAACTGTTAATAAACACTTGTATCTTCTGGATGATGGCTTTCTTAGTTCTCCAAGTTTCTGCCCCATACAGTAGAACTGTCATGACATTTGTATTGAAAATTCTGACCTTTGTGTTGGTTAGTTGGCAGTTGTTTTGAGTTGAAGATGTTGTTCAGTTGTAAATATGTTGCTCTTGCTTTTCCTATCCACGCCTTCACACCTGCATCAGACCGACTGTATTCATCGATGATGCTGCCCGGATATGTAAAAGTCTTTACATCTTCCAAAGCTTCTCCGTCATGTGTGATTTGATTGGTGCATGTTGTGTTGTACCGGAGAATCTTGCTTTTCCCTTTGTGTATATTGAGATCTACTGCTGCTGAGGCTGCTGCTACACTGGTCGCCGAACTTCGTCTAGAGCTCCTCTGATGTTACTGACGGTCCCAAGCTCAGATAAAAGAGGAGGGTTGGGCATAGGGTTATCGACCCCATCCCGTAGAAAACTAACTCGCTAAAGATAGAACACTAATCCCAACCTGCCTAGCATAGTAAGACTTAAATGAATAATTGTTCCAGCCAATATAATTCAATTGTATTGTCATTAATTAGTTACAGTTATGGTTGATCACTATTTAGTGAAATGTTAGACTGCTAACTATTGAATAATTTTTGAATACATTGACAAATTCAATAAAGATCATGTTTAGATTTATGTTCTTGATGCATTAAAATATCAAGGACAGATTTAACAAACTATTTTACACATTTGTTATTGTACATATCAGAATGACACTGTTGTTATCTCACTATTTATGATTTAGAAATGATCAAATATGGTAGTGTGTGTATATGTATGTCAAAATTACCGATGAAGATCTTAATTGAATAGTAAGATTTTTTATTACAGTGATCAATCTAATTTACATATTATTATTTGCCGTATTCATAGATAAACAAACGTACAAGAAGCAATACATAATTAACTAAACAAACTAAAATCAGTTGAATAGATATACACAATATAAGATAGTGCATGGTATGTGTTATTTAAGCTGATAGATATAAGTAGTATATCACAGAAATCAGTAGTGAAATGCCTACCAGCAAAAGATTAAAATGAAAAGAACATGAAGTAAACCGGAGAGCCATCAAAATAACAACAGAATTAGAGGAATCATGAAGTATGTAAAAGACAAAGAAAACGTGTGTACATGATGTATTAAATGTACGATTTTCTGGTTAGCATTGTTTTAGCGAGTCGCTAACCCCATGCTCAACCGTCTTCCTTTATCCGGGCTTGGGACCAGCAGTAGCCTCAGAGGGGCTTTAGTCGGAGTTATGATTTTCATACTTTACTAAAATATTTTAATTGTAGAATTAGATATTCACTTTTATCTCTTCAATATCTCTTATTTTCCACTGTTTATCAGATGTGATTGGTTGTAAACCTGGACCAGATTGTTATCAAATATGTGGACAAAAAAGTGGATGTTCAAATTTAGCCTATCCAAAACTTGTAATTAATATTATGCCATCAGGTTTGATGAAATAACCATTTTCCTTGTAACTAATTGAATTTCTTATTCATCTTTTAAATACTGATTAGATATTCCTACAAAGTGTAAACAAATTATATAACTGTATGTAGCGCCTATCAATCACTAGAGGATAATCAATGTCTATCTGGTGTCTGATTCTCAAAGCTTATCAAGTGAAATTGATAAAACTTATAAAAATGTATCTTGAATATATCGACTCAGGATACAATATTATATTGACAAAGAATTTGTTTCTTTTATAAAACACTTTCCAACGATAAAGTAATGAAGAATAACTTCAGCTTCATCATTATATATCGTTTACTTCATAAGATGTGAATGTAATGTCAATAGGTTTAACCACTAGATCTCAATGACATAACAAAATGAATACTCGAAATAGAAGACTGAACTGATTTAATTATCTATTTATCATGTATATCATTCAGTGTTCGCTATGCTGGCTGCCTGAGACCATAGGTGTTAGGTTTATTTATTACTATACATTTTGTTATGGTAAAGGATTCTCAGCACCACCTGAACAGTATTGGAACAAATTTCTGTTTGTTATACATTCACGTCATGATTGCTCAAGAATATATTTTATTATCATTTACAAGTGTCTCCCATTGATCGTAGAACACGAAAGTTGTTTACTAGTTCAGCCGCTTTATGATGACTTCAAGATCGAACATCCTCAAGTTATGTTCTGAAATAATCAACTATAAATTCATACAAAGTTTCATGAGTGTCTACAATCCCTTCTACCTATGAAATGTCTTACTCGAAGTTGCCATTAAAACGTCCATCACTTTGTTGGTATCAGAATTCATAATACAATCTTCATTGGTACACCAAATTATTGAAATAGAAATCTTGGTCCTGTCGAGAATGTTCATTGGTATTCATGAGCCAATGGACGCTCAGGGACAAGGGAAAACTGTGAACACATTGGGGAAGTTTATCAAATATTGGAGAAGTGGAGAGTATTTTCTAAAACATTTGTCAATTCATGCAAGCGCTACAACCATTGATAATCATTCTGCATGAAATTTTGTTGACAAAAATAATCCTATGTTTGTTTACTTACTTTTCGATTAATTATCCTACATTTCCTTCAATTCTAGGTCTTAGAGGTCTTATGTTGGCCGTGATGTTAGCTGCATTAATTTCTGATCTAACTTCGATTTTCAATTCAGCTAGTACATTGTTTACAGTTGACGTTTATTTAAAAATTAGGAAAAAAGCAAAGAATATGGAGATAATGGTTGTTAGTAGGTAAGTTTGGTCTTTTTATTTTTTCGACTTCATATTATACGCCACTTAGGGTAGCTATTACTTACTGTGTTTCTTTGTAGCCATTTTCGAATTCATTTAGCACATTTTAAACCACAACTATTGCTTGTAGGAGTGCTGTGAATAATGCATAGTTGATATAACTTACATAGATCAAAAAGGTTTAATAGAGGAAACATAACTTGTAATAACTGTGGTTAGGTTTTGAACGAATAATTTTTCAATAGTTGACCCACAGCGTTTCTTAGCGAGTTAGTTTTCTACGGGATGGGGTCGATAACCCTATGCCCAGTCCTCCTTCCCTATCTGGGCTAAGAACCGGCAGTAGCCTCAGAAGGTCTCAAAACAACTACCAACTAACCAACACAAAGGTCAGAATTTTCAATACAAATGTCATGACAGTTCTACTGTATGGGGCAGAAACTTGGAGAACTAAGAAAACCATCATCCAGAAGATACAAGTGTTTATTAACAGTTGTCTACGCAAAATACGTCGGACCTGTTGGTCAGACACTATCAACAACAACCTACTGTTGTGTGAGAGAACAAACCAGATGCCAACAGAGGAAGAAATCAGGAAGAAGCACTGGGAGTGGACGGGGCACACATTGAGGAAAGCACCCAACTGCATCACAAGGCAAACCCTCACTTGCAATCCTGAATGGCAAAGGAGAATTGAAAGACCAAAGAACACATTACGCTGAGAAACGGAGAGAAATATGAGAAGAATGAACAACCATTTGATAGAATTAGAAAGGAAGGCCTAGGACAGAGTGGATTGGAGAATACTGGTCGGTGGTCTATGCTCCACTGGGAGTAACAGGAGTAATTAAATTAAGTAACTAATTAATTCAATCCATAATTATGTGAAAGACAATAAAAATGAAAATCATATTTATAAAAATTTCAATAGTTTCTATGTTGCTATGTTGAAGGCATTATTAATTTTAACATATCACAACCAATACAATTATCCAGTTATTTCATTTATTGTTGTTGAGTCATAAAAACACATTGAATGTTCATGAATATTAAGTTATTTCATTAATACATTTGATCAGATTATTTTTTTGAATAAATTAACACCACCCCCTTCGCCTTATATTAAAGTTTTCATGCCTTTTTTTTTGTTGAAATTTTGTTCTACAATTTAATGTCGTTGTTATTGTTGTTTCTTTCTAGAATATTTATAATTGTATTAATCTTATTGAGTATTGCATGGATTCCTGTAATTCAAGAATTACAAGGCAGTCAATTATTTATTTATATTCAAGCTATTTCAGCTTATCTGGCTCCACCTGTAGCTTCAGTTTACTTATGCGCTGTTTTAATTAAACGAACTACAGAAAAGGTAAATAATTATTATCTATTCATCAATTCGATATTGTTTTAAACATTTGTTTAAAGCGTTAATAAGATACTTGTGATTGACTTTGTGAGCGAATTCTGGGAGTTCTAGTGAGAAGCCATGAACAGTGGAGCCAATCCGTGTCGGGTAAAGACAGGTATCTACCTCAGTACAATGGAAGATGATCGAGCAATTTCGTGGATTGGTTGAGGTTAGACATTAACACCGTTGGACGCCGACTCAGTGGTCCAGTAGGTTAAGCGTTCGTCCGTGAGACTGAAGGTAATGGGTTCTAATCTCGCGAGGTGGGATCGTGGATGCACACCGCTGAGGAGTCTTACAATAGAACGAAACGGCTGTCCAGTGCTTCCAGGTTTTCGATGGTGGTCTAGCATCAATCGGTTCAAGATCTCAATCAATAAAACAAGATACTGACTAGATATCAGACTTTTTGTCAAAAGGTTTTTGTAAACCTTAACAACCCATTTTGTACTATTGACTAATGACTAAAGAAAGCATAGTAAATAAACTTTGTGGTATTCCATAGACAGTATACGTTTAGGAGCTACAAACGGGACAGTGTTCAGATTTGGTACAAAATTTTAAACTCCCAATCTGATCCAGCTGTCATTTCTTTGTTTACTAAGCCACATCATGTTTCGACGCACGATGGTACAAAGGTGGCCATGTCACTAGTTAATTAGGCTATTAACTATTGATCTTAGTGGTGTCGCAACGTTTAGGATACCAGAATCGGGTCACAAAACTTTTCAAAGTTGACGGTTGAACATCATGCAAATCATTGATTTAGACCACCTACAATATTTTTGATATGTTTACTTTTCATTCATATCCACTGCACATCGGGCTAATCATTTTGTGAAGAACTGAACATGGGTTAAAAACCAGGAGTCTAAATGTCACTTTTTAGAGTACAAATTTAAGATTCAGCATATTAGACATTTTGATCTGAAGTTTGTGATCTTAATTCATTCCGGATTGAGATAGAATTCCAATCAGTGATATTTACTGTTAGTCAATCTCCATCATGTACTGAATTATTCGAAAATGTGGACTATTAATTTCTAAATTAAGGATTATCTGTCTGAATGTTTATATGAAATCAAGGATATGAATTGCTAAGTATGACACAAATTAGAAATGGAAATTATCTAGAATGCCTTGATCCAGTACTTACGAAACGTTATCAACTCATAATGTCATATATTGCTTTTCAATTCTGATTGTAACTTGCATAATGTGACTTGTGTGGTGCATATGTATTCGATGCTCTTTTTCTATCAATATTTATATGTTCAAATAAAATATGTTTTGACTATGAATATTTGAAAATATTCTCATTTATTCATCTCTTCGTATGATATTTTATTTTATTTAAACACATAAAAATTGGTACAAGGAGGCACCAAATAGATATGCGCCACACTTCATCATCCGATTTGTTTGAGGGCTGGGTTATGATATTGTCCAGGTGTCCAGATCAAAGCATGTGGTTTTCTTAAGAGGCGACACTCGGAGCCTTCGTCTTAAAGGTCTAATCTACAAGGAAGTAGAGCAATGTCAGCAGATGCAGTCCCATGGTAGCCGGTCAACAATCATTGGTTCATACGCCACTTATTCCTTCAGCATACTGGAGCCCATGTACACCATTGATTTGTAATCAGAGTTTTCCATTTTCCCTAGATGGACTCTCCCTGTCCATCAACCCAGTGAAAGCGCCTAAAATTTACTTTTCGTCCTCTCAATTGTGTAAACAACAGTAATGCTGCCAGAAGACAGTGAGTAGGACTGCCTTGACAGTGATTGTATGTACGTGGCCATATGAGAGCATTTCGAGAGGGAGAGTTGTCTCTCCCCCACCCTCGACGCCACTAGGGCATTTAGCGGCCTTTTTATGACAATAAGATACTGTTAAGATTTTTTTAGAATAAAACATGAAATTTTTAAACCTTTTACTAGAAATATTATTGTTTTAAATGCACTTAGTATTATTTATTTGAATCTTCCCATTGGTAATTAGGATTTAAATCGATCAGTTTCTTATTGGCATATGTGCATACTGTACGGATTACCTCGATGTTGCCTTAATTCACACAAGCATTATAAGTAAAGACCAATAGTGTTTAGCAATGGAATCCAGTTTGACTTGCATTTCATCCTATTTGAGACTCGTCAACTAGATATACCTATATCTAAGAGTTGATGTTCACTTCGGGACTCGAACCCAGTACCGTTAGCTACTGAATTCACTACTAACCATTATTCATCTTGATTATTGTTTTATTATTATTATTATTTTTTTTGAGAGACATATAAAAATCACATGTTAATAAGTTATTATTATTATTATTACTAATATAATTTATTCAATTGTTGCTTAACTTTTTTATTTTTTTTTAATTGTAAAGGGAGCATTTTATGGATTAATGTATGGTTTAATTATTGGTTTAATACGATTAATATTAACTATTATATATCATGAACCAATATGTGGTGAATATGATCATAGACCATGGTTTATTAAAAATATACATTATATGTATTTTGCATTATTTTCATTTATAACATGTGGTATTATTGTATGTTTATTATCATTAAATGAAAAACAATTAACAAATGAACAATTATATCATTTAACATATTGGACTGCATGGGATAAATCAATGAATCATTCATTATATAATAAAAATTTACATAATCATATTATATCTAATGAAATAATTAATAATAATAATAATAATAATAATAATATAAATAATAACAATGAAAATGATATTAATATAATTAATAATATTCATTATCATCAATATGATAATCATGAAATAATTAATAAAATAGAAATATCATCAACTTCTGAATGTCAACAACAACAACAACAACAAGAACAACAACAAGAACAACAGCAAAAAGAATTTGTAAATAATAAAACTATGGAAGGTTTGTGTTTTTAGTATTTAAATTTATTAAATATATTAAATATTATAAATATTACTGAAATTCTGTTGAGAAGTAATAACCTGTAGAGTTTAAACCGGATCTGTTAAATATCTGGGCTACCTGTTCCTCCTATCTAGATATTTCATCAAGTTATCTGTTTTTTTGTTTGTTTTAACACACTATTATGTATATTGAACTCACAATCTATTCAGGCGCGTTTATGAGAAGTTTACAAGCTTTCGTTGTACGAATTACAAAAAGGTACAACCAGCGACATTATGGTGGTTTGCTATATGCATTGAAACGAATGAACATTATTCAGATGTTGATTATCGAACTTTTAACATTGAACTGGCCATCACTCAATATTTATCGTCAGGATCGATCAAGATATAAGAAAAGGAAACATGTTGAAATAATTTATGCTGAGAATTCAATAGTGTACCACAAATATAATGTTGAATAAAGCTCATAATAATAATAATAATAATAATAATAATAATAATAACTCATTGAAAACAATGGTTGACTCTGACGCTTAATTTCGTGGATAAATTGAAGTTAGACATTAACATTGGTGGATACTGGCTGGCTTAGTGATCTACAGGTTAAGCGTTCATGCGCGAGACTGATAGGTTCTGGGTTCGAATCTCGCAAAGTAGGATCGTGGGTGCGCATTGCTGAGGAGTCCCACAGTGGGATGAAACGGCTATCCAGTGCTTTCAGGTTTTCAATAGTGGTCTAGCTTCAGTTGACTCATGATCTCAACCGTTGAAATTAATATAATATCCATCAAACCTCCTTCTGATATACAATATTTCACGGTTTAAAATGGTTTTTTAATTGATGTTATTCCAAAGATAGTAAACAATCCTAAATTTATCGACTATTCATTTTATTACTTAAGAATCAAATATTTTTATCATTGTTCTTGATAATCAGTTAAATTTCAATATTTTCATAATATAAAAGAATAAAGAACAGTTATGTTATATTAAGTATGAATCAGATATTTTATAGATGAATTTAATGCTACATATTCAACAGATAATATCAAACTAATAGCTCAATGATAACTTTTGTATAACTTTAGGTTAGACGTAGGGTATTAGGGAATGATGGTAAATCAGTGGATGAAGCTGTGAATCTTCATCAACTGAGATGGTTAGGTCATGTGTTACGTATACCTGAACACTGATTACCACGACACACAATGCTGATTAGTGTTGGGGATGGTTGGAAGAAGGTTAGTGGAGACCAAACCAAAACGTGACATCAGTCATTGAAGTCACTAAATGCAGACTATTTGGTTGAAGTCCGTGTGACTATCGTAACCAATGGTTGTAGACTGTGAATGACATGGTTCAGAATGGATCACAATGGCGTAGGTGTATAAACTCTATGTATTCCCTTAGACCGTGTGATTGAAATGACTTTACACCTTTCTTCCTGAATTATATTCTTATATGTAACCTTTTCTTTTGATATATTACTACCATTGAATTAAATACTTCTATGAATCCGGTGTTCATCTTGTTGTGCTAATGAATGAAGTGTAAGAACTTGGATTGATACATTTATGCGCTCGATCCTACATTGTAGCTAACTGACTGTCTGACATACTCATTTCATATATAATAATTAATTATCGTAACTCAAGTCTATTCTAATAAGAAATTTTCTATTTGTCTTGTTTATTTTCTTATAGATTATGATTCATCAGATAATAAACCATCCCAAACTTCATCATCAACATCACCATCATCAGATTGGTATAAAATTCTAAAAAATATATGTTTATGGTTTTGTGGTTGTGCTGATCATCCATGTTCTAATATACAAATAAAACAACAAATAAAATGTAATCATTGTTACTGTTGCTATGGTTATTGTTTAAAATTATGTCATCAATTTAAAACTAATATTTATTCAAAACATAAAAAAATTTCTATTATTACATCAAGTGATTATCATTTATCTGATAAAAATAATCAATTCGAAAATAATGATTATTATTTAAATATTGAAGAAAATCTTTCAAATATTACATCATTAAAACAAAATTCAACTATAAAATTTTGTTTATATATTGGTTTATTATTCATTATTTTATTATCTATATTTGGTTTTATATTTTTTTCTATTTATTTCAATACTATCTCTATTGGTCCATTACCTATTTATATAAATTGGATTCAAATAAATGATACAATGAAAAATGCTATTGAATTATTAAAACAATATGAATTTATTAAAATATTATAATAGTAAACCTTTACAAATATCAAATTGATTATAAAAGATGTTGTATCGTTTCTGTTTTCTTTTTTTTTTTTCTTGTTATATTATAGATAGATATACAGATAGATAATTTTGTTTTCTTTCTGTATTATTTATTATTATTTTATTGAAATACATTTAAATAAAACATGGCGGCCTGTTTGAATATCTTGGCTACCTGTTCATCCCCATCTAGATATTTCATTAAGTTATCTGTTTTCTTGTTTGTTTTAACATATTATTATGTCTATTGAACTCACAATCTATTCAGGCAAGTTTATGAGAAGTTTACAACTTTTCGTTGTACGGATTACAAAAAGGTACAATCAGCGACATTATGGTGGCTTGCTATATGCATTGAAACGAATGAACATTATTCAGATGTTGATTATTGAACTTTTAATATTGAACTGGCCATCACTCAATATTTATCGTCAGGATTGATCAAGATATAAGAAAAGGAAACATGTTGAAATAATTTATGCTGAGAATTCAATAGTGTATCACAAATATAATATTGAATAAAGCTTATAATAATAATAATAATAATAAATATTGATAATAGGAGAGGCCCAGAATCGATCACAATGGCATAGGTGTATACACTGTCTGTCTTCCTTTAAAGTAAGTGATTAAAATCGTTTCATGTCTTTCTTTCTACGAACTAATTCTATCTTCCTGTACTATCTTTTTATATGTAATCTTTCTTTTATATATTACTACTATTGAATCAACTGCTTGTATGAATTTGGTGTTCATCTTGTTGTGCTAATGAATGAAGTGTAGGAACTTGGACCGATGTATATATGTGCCTGGTGCTACGTTGCAGCTGATTGATTGTAGAGGAGATGCATTAAAGTGATGGGTGCTAAACTTCATCATTCGATTTGTTTGTGAAGATTGTAATACTACCTGAGTGCCCAAATCAAAACAGGTAGTTTTCTTAGAGAGCTAATCACACCATCCTTCGCCCGAGTATTTGATATAAAAGTCTAATTCACAAGGCAGTGGAACAATGTAAGAAGATGCAGTTCCATGGTAGCTGCTGACCAACAATAGGTTTATAAGCCATTTGTTCTCTCTGGATTAATAAGTTTTGCTAATTGAACGCTAGATTTGGTTCTTAAGCTCTTCTAGTAACCCCGAGATTAAATCTACACAGCGATTTGAACACGAGAGAAAAAGCGCGAAACACTTTACTCCAAAAGTTCATTCATCTACAAAAAATCTGGGATTTTTATACTATTTAAATGTTCTTGGGTTTTCAAAAAAATTTGCAATGCTACTAAACATAACGTCAGTCGGTATGTGACTTTTCACTTACTAGATGTTTATGGTAAAACTTCTAGGAAACGCTGATTGAACAAGATGCTTCTCAAAGTTTTCAAAGTCTTCCTTGGCTTTTTTCGAGGAGTTTTCTGGATCTTTTCATGAAGGATCCCGGAGCCCATGTGCACCATTGGTTTGGAATCAAAGATTTCCAACTCCCCCAAGTGGATCGTCCGTATCAACTAATGCGGTTAAACTGCCGAACATACGCTTTTGTTCTACCAATTTTGTAAACAACACCCCTACCGCGATAAGGTACTGAGTAGGACTTCCCTGGCAATGGTTGTATGCACGTGGCCATGTGAGAGAGTTTCAAGAAGGAGAGCTGACTCTCCCTTATCTCGGCCATACCAGAACATTTGAGGGTTAACCAGATGTAGATATATTTTCAATAAATTTAATCTACTAACTGCACAGATGGATTGAGTATTAAAACTTTATTCGGCTTCATTGAATTTATGAACGCTTCAATTAGACTAGATAGTTTCATCAAAGTAAATTTACAGAATTTAATCTGTTTAACCTTTGTACTAGTAAGATTTTTTTCTACCAGATACATTTGCCAACCCTCCTTCTTTACGCGGGCTTTGGACCAGCTGTAACTCTAGAAGAGTTCCAGGTGGCCTATGCTCTTCCATAAGGAGTAACAGGCATAAGTAAGTAAGTAAGTAACTAAATAAATTTACATACAAATGAATAATTCAATCAGTTTATATCAATTCTTACACATGAAAATCATAATAAAATTGAAGATAACTAATCAAATTGATTTGTAACCATTTATATATATTACAAATAGATTAATATAAATATGAATAAACTAAAGAATTACACACGTATATAATGAATTACTTGATAAGATTAAGAAAAATATTTTATTTTTCGGTGTCAATATCTTATAACACGTGATTGTTGAATGTTTTGCTGTTGATCAACTTGGCATTATTACTTAATAGTAGTATAGTTAAACAAATTACAAAAAGTGAATAATATTGATTTCTTTATAATCATTCATTAAAATAATTCATTGAAATGTTTTGTCAACCTTGAAGAATCAGAACTGGTAAATAATTTTGTTAATTTCTGTTATCTAATGAAATACATTTATATTAAAGTGATTAATTATAAAACTTCTAGAGTGTATTCATCACATGAATTGATGTCATTCAATATGATTCAAATTATTAAAGCTTGTAAATAAAGAAGAAACTACAACTCTCTATCATTGAAAAGTGTACCTCAGAAGTATATATACTTCTTTGTCCTTGACCGGTCTCTCTGGTTTATTATATTTCCTTGCCAGTTTCCTCGTGTCATATGGTTGTTTCATATTTCCTTCTGCTGCAGCATTTCCCGCTGTTATTGCTAGGTTTTCCACGTATTTCTGTTTGTCAGCCCTAATGCTCCTCTCCACTTGCTTCTTTGCTTCCATGTATTCAGCTTGTGCCTCGACTTTCTCTGTCCTTGTTCGACAATTGTCTTCTGCTGCTGTCTTCTTTTTCTTCTTCCTTTCTTGAATCATACGCAGGTTTTCCATAGAGATCCATTCATTACGATGATGCTTCCTGCTGCCCAGAATCTTCCTACATGATGAATTTAGTGCCTCTCTCACCCATTTCCAATCGCCCTCCATAGTTGTTTCTTTTTTGGAGTGGATTTTGTAAGACTTGTAACCTGTTTTTGAATTATTTTGAATTCGTTGGCTTTTTAACCCTTAAAAAATTGTTTCCCTAGTTGTCTAGTCTTTCTTCAGCTTCAGTTTCACCTTGGCCATAACCAGATGGTGATCTGAAGCCATGTCATCTCCCTCGTAGTTCTCACTTCTTTCATTGTCATTCTGAATTTTCTAGTGATACTAATATGATCTATCTGATTCTCTGTAGTGTGATCTGGTAAGACCGATGTAGCTTTGTTTATGCGTTTGCAGTGGAATATTGTCACCTATAGCCATTTTGTTGAATACACATAAGTTTGCAAATTCCTCATTGTTTCCATTCCTTTCTTCCAGTCAGTTCATCTCATCTCATGATATCTTTATATCCGATGTTGTCCATTCAAACTTTGGCGTTTAGGTCTCCCATCAGGATGATCAGGTCCTTTACTAAGCACTTCGCTATGATTGATTGCACCTTCTCATAGAACAGATTTTTATTGCTGTCGTTTCTATCAGGTCTTAGAACACAGGCATGCTTATCGGCGTCCGATAATCGTGTACTTTCTTGACTTAAAAGTTACATTTGACTCTGCAGACCGAGAGGTTCTGTGTCAGTGTCTGTCATTGAAAAGCGTACCTCAGAAGTACATAAACTTTGTGAATGCTCTTTACTCGAACAGTACTAATCGATTGAGAGCTTATGGCGAACTATCATCTGATTTCGCAATCTCAAGTGGTGTCCGTCAAGGCTGTGCATGATCTCCATTTTTGTTCAGTTTCATCATAGATCTACTGCAGGAAATAACGTCGACTGAATTCTCGGGCATAGATCTCCCTCCAGGAGGTTCACGTATCGACTTAGAATACGCAGATGATATAGTCCTGTTTGGTGAAGACGCTGATAAAATGTAGAGTCTTTTGGTAGCACTGAGCAACAATGCCAGGATATTTGGGATGCGTTTCTCCCCCTCTAAATGCAAGTTGTTGCTTCAGGACTGGCTTGTGTCAACACCTGAACTAACGATAGGTAGTGAAGTAGTCAGACAAGTCGACAACTTCACTTGTCTTGGAATCCTGATCAGCCCTAATGGGTTAGTGTCTGAAGAAATCTCAGCACGGATTCGAAAAGCTCGTCTGGCCTTTACCAACTTACGTCATCTATGGCGAGGGCGAGATATCCGTCTATCAAGTAACGGACGAGTATACTGCGCGACAGTTCATTCTGTTCTACTTTACGGCTGTGAAACGTGGTCATTAAGAGTAGAAGATAGTCGTAATTTACTAGTATTTGATCACAGATGCCCTAGAAGTATTGCTCGCATCTGCTGCGACCACCGGGTAAGTAATAGTGAGGTTAGGCGCAGGGTATTAGGGAATGATGGTAAGTCAGTTGATGAGGCTGTGAATCTTCATCAACTGAGATGGTTAGGTCATGTGTTACGTATACCTGAACACTAATTACCACGACACACAATGCTGACTAGTGTTGGGGATGGTTGGAAGAAGTTTAGGGACTGTCAAACCAAAACGTGGCATCAGTGCTTGAAGTTACTAACTTCTAGTCTTAGTCATGTTGGTAGTTGCAGACTACTTGGTTGAGGTCCGTGTGACTATCGTAACCAATGGTTGTAGACTGTGAATGACATGGCTCAGAATCGATCACAATGGCGTAGGTGTATAAACTCTATGTATTCCCTTAGACCGTGTGATTGAAATGACTTTATGCCTTTCTTTGTATGAACTAATTCTTTCTTCCTGTACTATATCGTTATATGCAATTCTTTTTTTATATATATGACATGGCTCAGAATGACATAGATTTATACACTCTCTGTCCTCCCTTAAACCGTGAGACTAAAATTGCTTTATATCTTTCTTTTCCTTTTTTCGTGTACCATATCCTTATACATAATTTTTCTTCTATATATTACTACCGTTGAATGAACTACTTTTATGAATTCTGTATTTATCGTGTTGTATTAATAATGAGTAAGGTGTGACAACATGAACCGATACATACATGTGCTTAGTTCTACGTTGTAGTTGATTGACTTACAATTCTAACTACAAAATCTTCTACAATTTTCCAAATTATACAGAATAACTATTCTACAATTAATTACCAATAAAATCATGATCTATTTTATAAGAAGGTGTTAGGTTTTAAGAGAGAGAGAGAGAGAGAGCTATCACGGGTTCACGTAGTTTGAGAACGAGATCGAGGATTCGGTGACCAAGGTCCAGTAAGCTATCTATTGACGCGTCCCATCCCCACTATCTAGAGTGAGAAGACCAAGCTTAGAATGAAAGTATATTCTGTAACAACCAGAAAACCAGCAAACTTTTTTACAAGACAATTTCAAAACGTATATATACAATTATATATATATACGTCGATATTGTCATGGAGCTTTGAAACATTTCATCGATAGTTCGTCGATTGACTGCCATTGAAATATTTAAACATTTAATCGATAATTTCGTCAATCAACTATGTGCGTGGGCGGTAAGAAATGCCCACGTATACATGTGCATACAAGCTCCACAAGATAAATTACAAACTATGAGTTTTTGGAGATCTACCGTCCCCAAACAGAAGGAAAACCTAAATTAATCATATGTGTTTTATTTTTTAATGAAT